TTGCTATAACATGGAGAGAACTAATCCTGATCGGTATTTTTTATTGAAACGAATGGCGAGAATCGCTTCAAGTATTTCTTCATGACCCTTAGACAATGCATTCTAGGATTTCAAAACGAGATGCGACTCCTAATTCTAATCAACGATACAACCATTAAGACTAGATATAAAGGTGAGTTAATTATTGCAATGTGTCAAGACGCCAATATCAAAATTTACCATATTGCATTCGACATAGTTGACGGAGAGAATGATCTAGCGATGCATTAGTTCTTCGCGAAGTTTAGGGAAATGATTGGGGACACCGAGAACCTTGCATTCATAATTGATCGAGGGCAGTCAATAATAAATGGTATAGTCGAAGTCTTTCCTGAAACACATCACGGTTATTGTATGTACCATATACAAGGAAACCTGAAGACTAAATATCGGGGTAGTAGCGTCGTTGCATTATTTAGGAGAGCTGCAGAGACTTACAGTTTTGAAGAGTTTGATAAGTTCATGGTCAAAATAGAAAGTAAATCACATGTTGCATGTAAGTATCTAATAGAAATGCGGATCGAACATTGGGCACGATCACATTTTTCAAGACGTTGATACAACACAATAACATAGAACAATACAGAGTCGCTCAATGGATTAGTCAAGAAGGATCGAGAGTTACCGATTCTTGTTATGATTGAACACATTCGTAATAAGCTATAGCATTGATTTCATGATCAACGGGAAAAATCACATAGTTGTACAAATGTGCTAACCCCGACTCAGGAAAATAAACTCTTCAAGATTCTGAAGCAGGTAAGAAAGGTATGTGTGGAACCACTGGACCGATTTCGCTTCTTTGTAAGATGTGGACGTAATATTGGATATATTGTAGACTTAAATAATAACACGTGCACGTATAGATAATTTCAGTTGGAAAATTTTTCACGTATGCATGTAGTGGCAGTAGCTTATGCAGTTATTATTATATGGCTGAGTATTGGCGAGCATCATATGCCGAAATGATATTTCATGTACTAAATGAAGTCGAGTAAGAAGTTCCCGATCACATTCTCTCATTTAATAATTTGTTGCCACCCGGAGTCAGACTACGTACTCCTGGATGTAGACGCATGTCAAAAAAAATTTCAACCTTGTAAATGCGGCATGTACGACGCGACAGGACATACTCGTCAATTTAATTTTTATTTAAATATTTACAATTATCTTATAATTACTTTTATAGTAACTACTATATGTATCTTAATTGTTTATTTAATATATAATTTAATTTTTATTTAAATATTTCATTAACTATTTTAATTGTTTACTTATATTATTAACATAATGTTTGATTACTTATCTAATTATTTTTAAAAAATTCAACGCTTAATATTTACATAAATTTGACAATATTTTCAATTATCTCATAATTAAAAATTACATATTTTCAATTATCTCGTAATTAAAAAATTAACTTATTATATTTGCTTAAATTTGACAATACCTGAAATTACATTACAGTTAAAAAAATCAACCTATATAATAGTTATGGATCACAGTTGTATTCATACAAATGGTAGGCTAACATCAACCTCCACATATCTATCCAAAATTGATTTGTTGTATCAACCTTGCGACATATATTCAAAAATTCTACATACGTTATTGCCAATATAGCGCAATCGACACTACAAGCAAAGAATAATATATTAGTTTGAGCGGTATAGCTAAAAAAATAAGTTTTGGAATTAAAAACTAGTAAATCCTTATGACAATCATTGTCTCGCCGTCATCATGTTTCGCACAATGGCTAATCTGTCATTTTCTCGAATCATGGCATGTCTAGCCATCATTGAAGTGATCACAGTCATTGGCTCCAATATTTGCTCCAATTGATTTTGTGTCAAACAATTATAATCAGAGTCGTACACATATATAGTGGAATCAACAAATACGATCTCCAATGAAAAGTAGGGTACGTTCACGATCACTGGAGTGTACATATGTTTACAATTCGTCCACGATTTTTCGCATGTCGACTCCAGTCCAATCACCCACTCCAACATGTAATCAAGCACCATATATCCATTCCATTGGAGTAGGAACGTGCTATGCTCAATATCAATGGCACGTGCAAACCCGAAGCAAAGGATAACTTGACTGAGAATGTCAAAAGATCTCGGGTGACTCTCAGCCCGATCGCGTAACAATTCCATGACCAAATCGATATGTTGAAATAAAAATACCAATAAAAAGAAAATAGATAAAAATAATATTAAAAAATGAAACTAATAAACTGTCAGTATACGCAATAGTCAATAGATAATGAAATAAAAGAAACGAACGTAAAGAAATATTAATTATTTTGTTAATATTTAATTAATTTATTTCTTTTTATATTTAAATAATTATGTTAATTGTTTATGTATATTATTTGTTTAGTATTTAATTCTTTAATTAATTAATTAATCTAATTTCTTTATAATTTAATTGTTTATATTAATATTTTAATTGCTTAGTTTAATTATTTTATTAATACTTAAATTTAATTTTTTATTTCAACATTTCATTAATTATTTTAATTGTTTATATATNTAAGAATAATATATTAGTTCAATAACATATAGTTGAAAACTAAATCTTCAAATTAAAAAGTTGTAAATCTTTACGATCTTCCTTATCTTGCCGTCGTCATCTTCTGCACAATGGCTAATCTATCATTTTCTCGAATCATGGCATGTCTAGCCATCACTGAAATGATCACAGCCATTGGCTCCAATATTTGCTCTAATTGATTTTGTGTCAAACAATTATAATCGGAGTCGTACACATATATAGTGGAATCAGCAAATACGATCTCTAATGAAAAGTAGTGTATGTTCACGATCACTGGAGTGTACATATGTGTACAATCCGTCCACAATTTTTCGCATGTCGGCTCCAGTCCAATCACCCACTCCAACATGTAATTAAGCACCATATATCCATTCCATTGGAGTAGGAGCGTGCTATGCTCAATATCAATGGCACATGCAAACCCGAAGCAAAGAATAACTCGACCAGGAATGTCAAAAGATCTTGGGTGACTCTGAGCCCTATTGCGTAACAATTCCATGACCAAATCGATACGTTAAAATAAAAATACCAATAAAAAGAAAATAGATAAAAATAATATTAAAAAATGAAACTAATAAACTGTCAGTATACGCAATAGTCAATAGATAATGAAATAAAAGAAATGAACGTAAAGAAATATTAATTATTTTGTTAATATTTAATTAATTTATTTCTTTTTATATTTAAATAATTATGTTAATTGTTTATGTATATTATTTGTTTAGTATTTAATTCTTTAATTAATTAATTAATTTATAATTTAATTGTTTATATTAATATTTTAATTGCTTAGTTTAATTATTTTATTAAAACTTAATTGAATTTCTTATTTAAAAACTGTATTAATTATTTTAATTGTTTATGTATATTATTTGTTTAATATTTAATTATTTATTTTAATTGCTTAATTTAATTATTTTTAATATTTAATTTAATTGTTTATATTAATATTTTACTTACTATTTTTAATTGCTTAATTGAATTATTTTATTAATACTTAAATTTAATTTTTTATTTCAACATATATATAATATTTCATTATTTATTTTAATTACTAATTTTAATTGATTAATTTAATTATTTTTGTAACACTTAATTTAATTGTTTATTTTAACATTTACATAATTATTTTAATTGTTTATGTATATTATATATTTAATATTTAAATAGTTATTTGATTTACTTATTTTAATTATTTACTTAATAATTAATTTAACTTTTTACTTAAATATTTTATTCATTACTTTTGTAGTTTAATATTTCATTTCATTTTTATTTAAATATTTCATTGATTATCTTCATTGTTTATCTGATACGTAATACTTAATTATTTATTTAATATTTAATTTAACTGTTTCTTGACTTTATTTTAATCAGACAAATAATATACATAAACAATTACAATAATTCTTTAGATAAATAATTAAAAATTAAATAATAAAATAATTCATAAAATAATTATTTAAATATAAAAAAATAAAAAATAGTTATTTAAATATAACCAATTAAATTATAATTTTAAAAACTTAATTATTCAAATGAATAATTGAATATTAAATAAAATTAATTAAAAAATTAAAACCAATTAAAGAATAATTATTTCAAATTAAAAACTTTAAAACAATCATTTAAATAAAAAATAAAATAATTATTTCAAATAATTAAAACAATTATTTAAATATAAGCAATTAAACAAATAGTTATTTAAATATAAACAATTAAATACTTGTTTTTTATTATTTAAAAATAATTAATTATTAATTAAAATATTTTACTTTTATCATTTAAATAAAAAATAAAATAATTATTTCAAATAATTAAAAGAATTCAAATAATTAAAATAATTATTTAATATAAACAAGAAAATTATTTAAAATAAATTAAATAATTATTTAAAAAAATAAAAGGCCCAGACGCCAACCCAAACGGCTTGGTAGTCTGGATTTGCCGTCTAGATCCGAACGGCCGCCTTCCTTCGTATTTTTGCAGGCGGCTATAACTCTCTCTAATGGCCTGAATTTCCTCTTGTTTGGATTGTTGGTTTCTTAGTGTTAATGTTGATCGAGTTTGGGCGTCAATTTTTTCACAGTAATTTTTCGCTCTTTTCTCACTTCTTTATGGTGTGAGGGTATAAATGGCAAGTTTATTATTTTTAAAGTTTTAAACATTTTTTCTTTATTTTTTTCCAAAATTTGGCCAAAGGCTATTTTTGCTCACATTTTGTAAAAATGAAAATGGATGGAATAATATTTTTTTGAAAAATGAGTGGTTAAAAGGGATGGAAAAATTTTTGGTTTATGTGTAATATTATTTTATGGATAATTGCGTGGTTGAAAATATGTGAAGGAAAAATTAAATATAAAGGAATGAAAATTAATTTGGGTACGGGGCTTGAAATGATGGGTATCTTCCACTAAATCCTCCTCCTTCTTCAGTCGGATCCGTGACATCCATCTCTGTGCAATCCCCCCAAGAATCCAAATCCAAAATTTTCAATTTCAAAACATGTAAGTCAGTCTGGAATTTAAGTTTTATTTTGATGAATTTCGATTTTACACCATTGAAATACGTTAAAAAAAGATATTTTTGCTTTGGTCCCCTTGTTCTAAATTTTAACTTCATTTCACATTATACGCAATGATTGTATTTTCAATTTAATTACATGGGTGAATTTGACCGGCCGAATTTTTTGTTAACTTCGTATTTCTGCGATTTCGTAACAGATTTTCCCCCTTAATACATAGGTTATTAAACTATATAGTATGTCTACTAGTTGTTATCTTGAAGAATCTCCTTTTTAATTGTTTGAAGTCGCCATTGCGTTTTGTATTCTGTACACTCAATTTGATTGTTGCCACTACATTCTATACATAAAAGAAAAAGGAAGATAAAATAATAGTTTTTATTTTTTCTGAATGATACCAACCTGTGTGGTGGATTTGATTTTATCATGTATTTTGTTGTGGCATTTTTGTTAGGGAATTAGGATTAGCTTATTGACAATTTTCATTTTTGCTGGTGTTATATTTTAGTTAGGCATATGATGGGGCGATGAAGCGTGATTGGAACATTCTGAAAAACAAAGGTTTGTGAATTATTCTAGCCTAGATGGCCTCTAAATAAAAGTTTGAATTTTCATACAAGTTTTATGTTATTTGATATGAAATTAGAGAATTCAATATAGCCCCAGAGCACATCTCCAAGTGGTAAAAGGGGAGGGTGGAGAAATCCAGTTTTGTTTGAGGCTGCTGCGTCAAGGGTTCGAATCCTGAAATATGGATTTGACTTTTGGGTAAGTGCAAGTATACAAGCAGCTTTCCACCCTGTATTCTTGGAGGCATAACCTGCGATTTATCTCCCTCACGATGCTTCAAGGTAGGAGCGGTGGGAGACCCTTAAGGTTGGGATTCAACCTTTTTAGAGAATTCAATATACATAACAAGTAGCAGAAATGGTCTGCGTGCATCCACTTTATGTCATAAATTGAACAGGAGTTATGTTGGGGTGAAAAGATAGGCTTTTGTTCATATCTCTGTGTTGTGCTATTTGTTTCACTAGTAACAAGGTTAAAGTATCTTTTGACCATGCATGAATAACTTTTATATGTTGATTTTATTTTTGCAAGCTTGTTCGTATAGTATATGAAGTTGTCTTGTTGAACTTTGCCGTGTAAAGTAATTTTTGAGCAGTGATTGTTTATTATTTCAAAGCTATATTTCATTATATATGATCTAGAGTTTGTTGAATAATATATTTGACATGAATTGACCCTCCGGTTATTCACAAGCCAATTAGAAATTCAAAAAAATAAAAATAAAAATAAAAATAAAAATGAATGCACATACATTCTAAAGCAAAATGAATAGAAGATATTTAAACGTGATAAAATCAAAAGGTGGAAAGAGAAGAGTTCAAAAATATCACGAAATTACAAACAACTAATGGATAATAACTAATTTGATTAAAAGATAGTATACAATATTCAAATTAACAATTATCCTTAATATCCCCCACGAGATGGAGGGTGGTCGAACTCCAAACGGTTTGGTGCGAGCATCAACAAGTTGATTGGTAGATGCAACATGAGAGGCACGAAGTTCACCAGATTGAACTTTTTCAAGACCAAAGTAATAGTAAATAGAAATAGGCTTCATACGAGAATGAAAAACTGATTGGCACAAAGATAAGTGGCACCAATATTATCACAATAAACTCGGGGTGGCTCACGAAAAGTAATGCCTTGTTCACACAGTAATAAGTGTATTGAAGTGATCTCAACGGCTGCAAAGGCAATGGATCGGTACTCTGCTTCAGTAGAGGGTCTGGCAACAAACTTCTGCTTTCGGGAACTCCAGGAAATTGCATTGGCCCCTAGGAAAACAATATAGGCATTGGTAGAAGAATGGTCATCATTGGTTACCTGCCCAATTAGCATTAGAGAAGGCATGTAGAGTAAGTAGAGACTTGCGATGTAGGAGGAGGCCATAAGTGATAGTCGCACGAAGGTAACGAAGCAAATGTTTGACAGCAATCCAATGGCCACTTGTAGGGTGGTGCATGAATTGAGATAGCTTACCAATAGTGTAAGCAATATTAGGCATAGTAAATGAGAGATATTGTAGAGCACCAACAATAGACCGAACTCTCTGGGATCCAATAAAGAGGTGCCATTAATTAGGGTTGGAAAATGGCCTGTAGACATTGAAGAGTAGACAAGTTTTGAATCAATCATTTTTGTGCGGGCAAGGAGATCGGCAATATTAGTGTGCTAAGTGATGAACAGGCCTTTAGAGCAAGGAATGACCTCCACTCCCAAGAAGTATGAAAGAGAGCCCAAGTAATTGATAGAGAATCGATTGATTATATCAGTCACAATACGCTTACGTGAATGCCAATCAGTCATGAAGCATTTGACAAATGAGAAGGTAATTACGATAGATGGATGAAGAGTTGCATTCGGCCGCTCATATATGTCCCCTTAGGTTGATCGCGCAGGAATACGGTTCTCGTTTTCAAATCCTTCACAAAAAAGGAATTAGATAAGAATTAAACAGAAACATTATTTGTGAGACAAAATTGTGAAATAGAAATTAATTTTTTTCATAGATGGAACACAAAAAACAATGGATAAAATAAAGGAAATGTATTTAAGGGTAAAGAGATGGAACCCAAGTGAGAAATTGAGAGATGGTACCACCACCAATCATGACATCATTTAGACCATTATATCCCAAGTTGAGGGAAAGGTTCAGTGGGTCACTTATAATGGGATGAGATGCCCCGAAGTCAAGAATCTAATTGGAGGAGGTTATTGGGACAACAATATTGGCTTGAGGGATATATAGTCGAAATGGTGTTTGGGGGTTAGTAGTAGTATATTGTTGAGGCTAGAGAACATGTTTGAGATGAGGACACCCAGAACTAACAGGTTTCACGATAGGGTCTTGGTTGATTAGGGTGTGGACCAAGTTGGAAGGGTTGGTGTCTAATTTGTTGGGGCTGAGACTATGAGTGGACAGGGTATGTAGGCCTTAGACAAAAGGAAGGTTGATGAGGTGTGTCTTGATGGCGATATTGGCCGTACTAGGAGTAAGTGACGTTTTAGCGACTTCATGCTTCATAAGGGCTTCAAAAGTGAACAACTTTTCATGAAGCTCGTCGAAGGAGATTGTGATTTAACGGGCACATATAGTAGAACTTAGAGAACCAAACTCATCACCAAGGTCGGATAGGATTTTATTGAGTTAGAACTGCAGCCCATAATGAAGATTAGGTGCGAGGAATGCGTTCATGAGGGAGAACGCATTTGAAAGAAATTTGACATACTGCATATACTTCGTGATCGATTGAGATCTTTTATGTAGGTGATCGAAGAGATCGAGACTTGCATGAGATGCCTACGAGAAGGCGTAGCACAGGTGTTATGAAGGAAAAGCCATGCTTGACGATAGGTTTTTGCCAAGGCAATGAACGACACAAGTGTTGGGGAGAGAGAGCCAGTATTGCATTTAAAAGAAGATCTCGTCGAATGCAAAAAGAGTATGCTGGATTTGGAATAGAGACATTATCGGTTATAACGATGGGAGATGGAGTGGGAAATGAACCATCGATACAGCCGGATAGATTGTAGCCAATGAGAAGTGTTTGAAACTGTTGGCGCCAAGAAGAATAATTTTTTTGATTGAGTTTGATGGGACACTGGGCAAAGATGTTTATAGTGATGAGAGAATTGTCGTTCTCAAGTGGGTTGAGTAGTGAGGGTTGAGAAATGGTGGTGGTGGGACTAGTGCTAGATGTAGAGCTAATATCAGCAGAGGAGGTAGTTGTTGTCATGTATGGATCGTGTTGCTTTGATACCTTAAAGGAGTTAATAAACAAAAGAATCTGCCGAAAAATGGCATGCATTCTTTTCATTAGAGACTGGTATATATATAGAGTTTGAAGATTACAACAAAAGCAGAGAGTCATTATCCTAGAAGCTAGAGTTTAACAATTATCCTTAACACTTGATTCATTGAAATAAAGCAGAAAATTCAATAACGATAAATAAATATAGGATGGTTAAAATTGCTATGATCATTAGAATTCAGGAATGAGATAGTTTCATCATTTTTAGATTGTGAATTGTGGATCATAAAATCCTGATTTAAATTTTGGAAAATGTGAGAATAAGAAATAATTTAGTTTCACACTTGAGAGAAGTTTTTCAACTAGAAAAAAACTTATTATACAATGGCCCATGGGCGGTCCAAAAAGATTAGGCGAAAAATTCATATATAAGGTATTAAGTATGAACCAATTTAATTTCTAGATATTAAGTTTAAAATATCATAAGTCAAGTGTTAATTCAATATTTTAATTTTAAAAAACATTATTATTAAATTAAATTAATCTATCTGTCCCACCAAACCTCCATTCCCACCTCACACCACTCTCGCGCACCGGTCCGTCGGCATCTACCCATTGACATCCATTCTCACAATTATCAACATCCGTAAAATCTACAAATTATTGATGATTGTTTCAGCGGCGAACTGATAGTATATTTTACGGACATCGGCAACTGAGTATCATCGACTTAGAAGTAGAGATAGAGGGAGAAACATAACAACCGTTTGACTGAGTAGTGTTAGTATAATTTAAATTAGAAATTACAAAAAAAAAAATACCTGGTGAAATTTACAAAGTACTCACCGGACAAATAATTTCAATTCTCACCATCGAAATCCGGTAAATTGAATTTGTGACCAATTCGGAGAATTGTGATCGGAGATATTAATGTCGTGTGATTTGGCCCCCATTTGGACCCATTCTCATTTTCATTCCGTTTCTCTCTCTTATTTTCAACCACACAATCTTCCATAAAATAATAGTACACGCAAATAAAAAACTTTTCATTCTTTTTCAACCACACATTATTCAAAAAACACTATTTCAACCATTAAAATTTGGCAAAAATCGGGGCCAAACGGGGGCTAGATCTCTTGAATTTTTTATTTGTGACAGATTATTGGTCCAAATTGAATCCAAATTTCAGTTTAAAACTCAGGTAATGAACCTCTCTTCTTACGAATTAGTGAATTAGACATTATTCCTTTGTATTGTATAGAATAACAAGTAGTAAGTGAGAAACCTTTTTTCCAAGTCACAAGATAAGAGTCATTTCCATTATCTTTTTTTGATTACATCAAGATGAATTTATATTTTATTTTATAGGGCTCTAGGGCTATACAGACTCGATCAATCCCTTTGCCCCTCATTCTTCGAGAATCAACCAATTGAGTTATATCCCCCGAGCCAAGTGGAGATTCGACGGTGCCGAGTGGAAGGGCCATCGGCCTAGCTGTACCTACCGTCTTTTTTTTTTGGGTCAATATCAGCAATGCAATTCATCCAACCGAAGTTTTGTGAACAATGCGGAGTCGAATTTGTCGATTCTCGCATACGAAGATATCAAATTGGCTATGCACGTGAGGGGTGATTTCTTGGTTTCATCCAGTCATCATGTGATACATGTTCATTCTATTTCTCCAAGTAAAGCTCTTCGCATCGCAATACCTATTATGTCCTATATACTTTGACATATGATCTGTGACCCTATGATCATTGATTATAATCAATTTTAATTGATCCGTGACATGCGGACATTGATCTGTGACTAATTTTAATTGATCTATAACCTACTCATAGTGACCCATGACTTGTGGAAATTTATCTGTGGCCCACACATGGTGACCATTGATCTATGACCTATACAATATGACCCGAAAACCTGTGGAGTGTGACTTGTAACATACAAACATGATCTGTGACCTGTGAATATTTATGTGACCAATGCACGATAACGTATGACCTGGTACATCTGACCTGTAACCTATCATCATTATAGGCGCGCCAACAAATATTAGCACATCACTTGACATACACTCTCTGAACATGCAACCACTACCATTACAAGCACCACCACTTCAAAATCACGACAAACTACCTCAAAAACCACCACAAAAGGCCTTGACAACTACCACAAAATCATCTAAAAAAATCACCACAAAATCCCTACAAGACCACCACGAATATTACCAAAAACTACCACATAAATTGGTGCAAAACCACCACAAAAATGCTGCAGCGGCAATCTGAGCCCTAATCGAAAAATTGGGAAAGTGGGATCTTAGAAATTGATTTTCACTTCCTGCTTATAGAGAGAGTAGATGAGAAATGGTAGGAGTGATTGTAGAGCCAAGTTGATAGAGAGAGAGAGATTAATAGAAAGAAGGAAGAGAGATGATAGGTTAGAGAGAGAGACGAAATTGGGATTAAATCTGATTTTGGGTGGATTAGAGGGTGGTGTATAATTTAATTTTATAATATATTATTATTAATATTAAATTATAGAATTGCCACCTGATTTTTGATTAAACAAACAATCTGATTTTTGAATAGTTATCTTTAAAAAATTGTGCCTGTGTAGTTTCCACAAAGATAAGCTCAATCCCAGCCCAAAACCAACAAAAGTTTGAAGCCCAATTAATAAAAGATTTTTAACGTTTTAACTTTTAAACCCAATCCAAATCACCTCTTTCTCCAAATTGTTGATTGAAGCCACACGGCCACACCTCATCCTGATTGCCTCTCCCCTTGCCTGCGATCTCAAAGATCAAATGGCTACTGTGCAGTAATCGCATCAGTCACCACCAAAAATTTTCTGTGGATTAGATTATATCTATCATTGTTCACACACATTCAGTTATTTCTTTCTCACTTTTGTTGATTTTGTTTTGACATTGTTTGATGTTTCTCAAATTGTTTTTTGGCTTGGAGTATCTGGTTTGGCCATTTGAGGTGGGGTGGGTTTGCCGTGGGGTGGTTGGGTGTTAATTTGAGCTATTTGGGCATGACCGAATTTTGGGCTGCAATTGTATATAAAATTACCAATTCTTAAGTTACTTTTAACTGTAAAGATAATGATTATCTTTTTGAAATTAGGCATTCATGAAGGGGCATGTAGCTTTGATTATAAAGGAAATGATTCTTGAAAGTAAGCTCCAGAATTAATTACTTCAATTGTTTGGTTAATCATTTCACCCAGTAAATCTTTCTCATTTTTCCCTTGACTAAGAAGAAATGCGACTACCAGCAGAAAAAGAGGATTGAACTGGACTGAACATGGACAACTAAATAGGAAATCACCCATTCAGAAATAAGAGGAAAACAACACAGATATATTCTTAAAATTGTATAAGTACCAAAAAAAAAAAAAAAAAAAACTTCATTTTAATTCCATTTGCTTTACAAATTGAAAAAATTGAAGGAAAACATAAGCCTCTAAAAAAAAAAAAAAAAACAGTTAGATCTAAACAAATAATGAGTGTGAGCAATGTGTAATAATGAGTATTCATTTAATTAACTTAACAATTTGACATCGTAAAGGTGTGGCACGTCTAATTTTTTACAATCACGTGACAATTTCCGTCAAGTGGAGTAACTGATTTCACTCTAGTGATGAATAGATAACATTTGCATCGATGAGTTAATAAAAGTGAGCAACCTAGGCCTAGTGATAAATTTAATCAGCATTCATTTAATTTACTCGTCTTTACTTCTGCAATTTTAAATATCAACTAGACATTTTTCCCCATCGGGTCAGTATTTTTGATATCGAACCGTCTCATCCAGTCTGATATGAAAACATATAAAAAACTGATTAAATAGCATATAGGCTCCTTTATTGAGATTATTTGAGTCCATCTATCCATCTTCAAGTCTCTCTAAATCTAAATATTGAAGGTAACCCTTCTATTGACTTTTTACCATTTGAGATACTATTTCAAATTTCTATGCATAGTCTCAAGTTGTAAAGTAAAACTTAATTTTAGACATACTAGCATCACATGAAATTTTTATAAATTTGGGCAATTCGAGTCATTGAAGCTGAACTATTCTAACTATAATAGGAACAGAGTTGTATATTTTAAAAGTGGAGGACTAAGTTGGCATGAGATCAATAGATCGAGAACTAGTGCTGCAATTCTAGATAACCTGAAGTTCCAAATAATAGGGTCTGTGTGCGTGCACCAACCAGTTGAAAAAAGCAGACAAGAAGTGGAGGCAAAGAGTAATGAACATAACCGTCCCAACAAAGACAACAAACTTAGCCCGGACACAGCTGCCAGCCCTCTTTTTCAACTATATTTTCCAACATTCCCGAGGTTTTTTCCCTATATTTTGCTGAATTATTAGTCTTTTTTCTGCACATAATTTCGTTGTTCCAAATTGAATTTAGATGTGCATATGTATTTGATGAATTGCTTGTTAGAGTGTATTTCATATTGACAGTGGTGCAGAAGTTGCGGATTGTGAATATATTGCAGAGTAGAAGAGGATTTAAGGAGTTGTGTGTAAAGAGAATGGCTTGGAGTGTGGAGAAATGTAATGGGAATGGAGTCGAGACTACTAGAATGGGATTGGTTCATCCAGCAATGGAGGATTATGCCGAAGAGGCAATTGAAGCTGTTAACGCTGGGAAAGTTATAGCTGTGCCAACTGATACCCTCTATGGCTTTGCTTGTGATGCTTGGTATGTTTCATTTTCATCTAGCTTCAGTATTTGTACATATTATTGCTAATACTTTGGCTTTAGCAATGAATTGAATGGAACAAGGCATTGTCTGTTGTTATTGTTGGTTGAAATTGAAAATTGTGGACAACGGACATAGGCCTGATGTCACTGCTTGCTACATGTTTTTTTAAGTGATTATTTTCAATTGAACTAAATGGTAGTACAAGCATGTTTGGTTAAGCCTTATGGTAAGTAGAAGTTACTTCGTTTTTTAAACAAATTTGGATAAATTATTTTTTTATTATTAAAAACAATTACTTATTTTGAAACTCTTACTTTACACTCAAATAAGTCTTCATTTTCGATTTTTATCTACGAAAAATTTACTTATATTAAAACTGGCCTGTAAGTGAACTCTTTAAGCTTAACCAAATATGCTCTTTTCTTCGAATTGCGCTCTTTATAAAGCCATTTTTTTAATAGAGGTTCAGGTGTGTCAAGTGTGTATATATATTAAGGACATTTATTTATGAAAATTTCATAATTCATACAGGCAGGGACTGATCTAATATATTTTGTGATACTATGAAAACCGAATTGAGAAAGCAATTTTTTGGCGAAGTAATTTGATTGGTGACATCAATAATTACATATCACTTTTCTCCTCCATAGTCTTCCCCTGATGATTGTTCGCATTGAACTAGTAATGAAGTGGACAAAAATAAGTTTTCCTTTTTAGGCAAAAGCAGCTGCAAGTGGTTAAACCATATAAAAATAGCTAAACTCATGCCATTTCTCCTGATATTTGGTGTAAAGTAAAAGGGTAAATGTTATGTACTTTTAGAACATAGCATTAGATGTTGCGTGCTAAACGTTTGCTTTTATGTGGTGGCATAATGCTAGCTCCATGGAAGCAGTTAAACAGATATATGAGATCAAAGGCCGTAAATATACAAGCCCTCTTGCGATTTGCGTAGGTGATGTTCAGGACATACAGCGGTTTGCTGTCACGAACCATTTGCCTCGCGGGTTGCTTAACTCTCTTCTTCCAGGACCTGTGACAGTGGTGCTAAGACGAGGTTTGTAGGAAACATTACTGTGTTTTCTTAAATAATTTTAGTGCATGTTTTTTACGAATATTTTAATTTCAGTTAAAAAAAAAATTTGTTCATTATCTTATTTTATTTTTCTTCATGTCTGAGTTAGAGCGTATTTGGCTAAGCTTAAAAAGTTTACTTATAAGTAAGTTTTGAATGGATAGTTTTTTTTATTTGATAAATTGGAAATAAGTAAATTACTAATTTTGATAAAAGTTACTTGCAAAATAACCGTTTCCTTTTACTTAAAGTAACCTATACAAACATGGTTGGAAACAAAAATTACTTTTAATTTTGATAGTAGCGTAAAAGTTACTTGCAAAATAACCGATTTCTTTTATTTAAAGTAACCTATACAAACATGGTTGGAAACAAAAATTACTTTTACTTCTAAGTTTGTAATTTGCGAGATTGCCTTGGACATGGAGTTACACAGATTTTTTGCTAATTTTGAGGTCTTTAATTTATTTATTTTTGATATTATGCAGGGGAGTCGAGTATTCTTGAGAAATCCTTAAACCCTGGACTAGACAGCATAGGGGTTCGAGTGCCCAACTGTAGCTTCATTAGGGCAATTGCCCGCGGTTCTGGAAGTGCACTGGCCCTTACAAGTGCAAACCTTAGTGGGCAGCCTAGCAGTGTAGATATTAAAGATTTTGAGAACCTCTGGGAGCACTGTGCATACGTGTACAATGGAGGTGTGCTTCCATCAGGCCGTGCAGGATCAACAGTTGTGGATCTTACGAAGCCAGGGAAGTACAAGATCCTAAGACCCGGGAGGTAAACATCTAATTTCTTTGACATTAAATTGCATATGTTTCTCTTGGAAATCTTGCCTTGATTAAGAAATTGCCTTAGAAACATCAAGCATCTTGAACAATGATTTTGTTCTAAGAATATTTTAAGAGATTCTAGCTCCAAAAATTAATGGCATTTTTGGGAGGGAGTACTGGCAAACATCGGTTGAAAAAGAAGTTAAAATCTTGTTCATCATATCGGCTAGGCTTATTCAGTTCTGTGTACCAAACATGTAAATTAGATGTACCTAAATGTGAGAGATGAAATATATTTAATTTATTTAGCATGGGGAAGCTTCCACCCACTCTTGACCTAAATTGTTTAATGAGAAATGAGTGTATGCTATGTTACTGTTCTGGACATTATTTTGTTCTATTACTTGACATACAAGACACCTCTTCGGAACCAATAAAAATTTTCACGTTTTCGTAGCCTTGACACTTGAGTTTAGGCACAATCTAAGGATTGATAAATTTATTGCAATTGGTTGAGTGCCCTATCAAAGACGGTTGATCATTAGACCTAATATCAATCAGTACTTGCTATCTATTGCAAACTCATCTTGAACTCATATGCAGTATTTAAAGGCATATCTTAAGACAAAGCACTGAATTATATTCTAGCCAATAAGTTTTGTGGAAAAATTGTTTCTTACAGTTAGTTGCATATCTTATTTTGTTCTCTCGTGTTGTGCTTCCTGAGCTATCACGTAAATTGTTTCATAAAAACCATTATAAGTATGCTTAATATGATTGGCCTGTGTCATATGCCTTCGATGTGCTTCTTTTGTCTTGGCAGTGCGAAGGAGGATACGGTCGAAATCCTTGAGCACCATGCTCTAGTTGAAGACTCTAGCACATCCTCACAAGGCACCTAAATTCATATTTGTACCGGAGAATGTTTATCTGCTGCTATATTTATCGATATCATTGTTTTATATTTTATGCCCTGCATTCCGCGCCCTGTAACGTAGTTACATGGTTAATTGATTACTTGGCTAAAATGGTCCATTCTACTGTTTTTTTATATCACTGCTACCTCCCCAACGGAGCAACAAGGTAAAGAATGGCTTCATTTCTGCAATAGTGATGAAGAGTATGAAGGCTTGAAAATGAAATTTGCTCATTTAAATAGCTTATGATGCTAATTGTAGATTCAATGATTTCTTGTTTTCTTAAGCTTAATTCGAACTTTTTTTCTGTTTTGACTTTGTATTGGTATTGGTTTTTACGAAGTTATTCCTCGGAATTAAACCATATTTGGATTTTGTAACAGCAATTGATATTAGGTGCTTAAAAACTCTAGCATGAATACTTATTCATATGGCTGTAGAATTTGTCGACACTTATTTTATCGATCTTCCACTACATTGTGCTTTTGGTTTAGGAAAGTATTCTTTCACGTCGATTCTTCTCAATGTTCCTTTTTATATAGGACATCTTCGTTGGAATACTGCACTCTCTTCGGTGGTACACTGAACATGAATGAAGGATTTTGAAATGAGTAGAGGTAAAAGTATAGGCAAAATTTGATTTATATGCGAGAAAAAAACAGAACTATACCTTTCTAGTTGTTACGAAAAAAACAAAGAAAAGAAAATGTTTAAGACAGCTTTATTCTGTCGAAAGTTTGGATTAAGGAGCTTTGGCGAGTACAGTTTAAGGACATAACATTTGAGTGTATGTCTACGATGAGCTTTTAAGCACTCCAAAACTTGCTCCATGCTAGTTAAGTAATCAGTTATACTATAGGTACTAAAAATATTTGATAGAATTTTTACGGCAAAAATTCATTAGTTTTGGACTGAATATGGTGAGTTTTTGACATCTTGGTAAATACTCAAAGGTCCGGTGCTTGATACCCATGGAAAGGCACATAATTAATAAAAAATGTGTAGATGAATTCCTTGAAATATGTTATTAAAAGTGACTTAAGTGTATAAGTTTTTTAGCCCCTGTTTGGTTTTCATTATTTCCTCATTAAAATAAAAAATATGGTCGTTATCCATCACATCTAGGGATGGCAATTTGAACCGTCAAAATTGAAAATCGCGGTTAATCGAACCGAATATGGTGAAAAAAATCGAACCGATGGTGCAGTGGGGCGGATATGATTTTTATTTTAATGAACCGGTTCTTGGCGATGCGGGTATGGTATTTATGCCGTCGAACCGAAATCGAATCGATTACCCACTAAAAAAAAAAACAATTGAATTGATTATTAAGCCTTACACTACTCTTCTGTCTAGCCCAAAACAAAATCCCCCCCCCCCCCAATTACATTTACATGACTCAACCGGCCAACCCACTTATCATTAGCCCATAATAATAGCATTAGTATGACATTATATAAATGTAAACCCTACTCTCCACAGACCACAAACTCACGCACGGCTCCTTTTATAGTTAATTTTTTTCTATTGTGTGTAGAAAATTCTACTTCTTCATCATATTCTAGAGTTTGTGCAACATTTAGCGAGAAGAAAGCTGACGAAGAGATATTTTTTTATTTAAATCTTAGTTAAAACCATTCTAGAATAGGTAATATCGTTGTATTCTCTACTTACATTTCTTATTTACTATATAGGAATCAACTTTGAGTGTTGATCTATACTAGTAAGATTTGTGGGGAAGAATGAATCAAGTAATTTCGATGCACAATAATTAAGAATGAAAGAAAAGTTTAGTATTGTTATATTTATAATATTGTTTGTTAAATTTGTATTTTACAATTGAAAATTGGGATAATGTTTGCTTTTTCATTTGAAATATTGTTTGATAATGTTTGCATTTTCGTTTAAAATATTGTGTTTTTATTTTCATTGACTTTTTTCATAAATTATTTTATATCAATTTGATGGATGAACCTATACAAAACAATTTATTTTCGTGGTTATTAACCGAACCGAACCGTGCCAAACCGAGATAATAACCGAACCGAACCGTACCGATTTATGTGGATATGGTGCGGTTATGGTATGGTCAAAAAATTGGTGGTGCGGTTATGGTTTTGACCGAACCGACCCATAACCGAACCCTTGCCAACCCTAATCACATCAAGCAACCAAATTTGAATTTCTCTCTCTTGTGTGGGAGTTGTAATGACTATATTTTTCATTCTCATTCTTCCAAAAATGAGAAACAAATGGATGCTTATAAACGCTTGGAAAAGTATCAAAGAATATTTGGTTGAAATTCCATTCTATAAGTTATTGTTGGACCGGGTTCAAGAATGATGGGGGCCCATCTGCACATGTTCCGCGAGGAGAATAAACAAGTATTTCAACTTAATTTGGCTGCTTCCTCCTCATTTTTCCTGTATTGACATGATTTATATTAATCTTTTACTGCATCCAAACAGCTCGTTAAAACAAAGTACAAATCCCAAGGGAAATTTTCTCAGATAAATTTTATCGTCATCCAAGTCGAAGTTAACACGATTTTACATTTTAACACACAAGATTTTCAGGTACTCTCACACGTAAAAAACACGTGTTACATTCATTTTTCGACCGTTTATGGCAGTTTGTGGTAATTCACTTTTTTAGAATCTGTTTAGGAGTGATTTTGAGAGTTGATTTTTTGACCGTTAGGAGAAAAGTGAGGTCCATTTGTAAGAGAAGAAGTCAAATATGACGACTGAAATAGTGAAATAACGATCAAAAAATCTATTTTTTTGATAAAAAAATCGAGTCCAAACTAGCTCTCGTTGAAAGTCACGTCTTAAAATATTAAAGGAATTGCATCTACGAAAATTAGTTAATAAAATAATATTATCTTCATAATCATACATTTTTTGTCACTATTCTTTGTGCCTACCTTCAAACTGCTTTTAAATGGAAAAAAGGAAAAAGAAAAGGGAAATTGGAAAAATGCATGAATGTAGACCCCATAGTGTCCAAAGGCACGTGGAATAGAAAAGTACTCAAATGAGAGGAAGACTAACGTGTTGCTTACAATAATCATTTCTTGCCTCGTTAGATATAAATTGTTTATTACTCCACAATATTCGATACTGTGTTACGTGTATGATCACTAACTTTTATCTTATAAAAGTTGAAAAAACTTGAAATACAATATCAGAAATTGTATCGCATCCATCTCAATCTTTAAAGTGATGATTTTATTCTAGTCGATATTCACTAAAATAAACATACAACGTTAAACATGAACTCTATTTGAACTTTTAACTTTTGTAACTAAATCAATATGAGTTCCACACTCAATAAATGAACGAACGGACGTTGGTCAATTGACTTTAAATTTTGGAATTCGGAATGTTAAGTCGTCATATCCATCTTTAGTCTTTGACTCAAATACACGCCGTGTTCGTTGGGTCAATTGAATGTTGCAACTAATCTTCGAAAAATCCTTTGACCATTAATCTAATACTAAACCTACACGATTTAGTTAATAGTCTTTCTATCTTATCGCTATTGTACTTAAAATTATGATCATATGCTTCATCGACAAATCTGCTCGAACATGATATAACATTTAATTAGAGTCGTGATAAAAATAAAATTAAAAAAACTTATCATGCTATATTTGAGGTTGGTTAAATTTTTGTCATTTTGTTCTATTTATAAAATTCAATACTTTTTTGAAGAAAGCTTTAAAATAAATTATTTAAGAGGTTAAGCATAGGGAAACTAATTGTAGTGTGCCGCGCATGTGCCCCTCGTGGCGCAAAACAAATGCCTAACTGAACTGAAATTATTATTTGCAATTGAGTCCCTCAAGTTTTAACCATTTGCATGATCGAGTGATAAATTTAGAGCTTGTTTGGTAGAGTTTAAAAATCAATTAAAATAAATTTTTGATCGTTGTTTCTCCATTCCAGCCGTCATTTTTTAATTCTTCTTTCACAGATATGACACACTTTTATTTCTAACGATCAGAAAATCAATTATCAAAATCCTTACCAAACAAGCATTTAATATTTCATCCTATTTCTTCAGTCATTAACTACCACTTATTGACTTGACTTTTTCTTTTGTTTTGAAAATTGCAGTCATTCAACTTTAAAGATATATAATATTAAATTTAATATATATAATATATTCTGACTAACAAATACTTAGTCAGAATAAATATAATATTAAATAGTTAGTCAATTTAATGACCATATTAAATTGATCCAATAATATATATAATATTCCGACTAACAAATAATTAAGGATTTTTTTGTCCAAACAGGGAGCCTAATTGGCGCCTCCTAGCGCCCCCCCTCCGATAGAGGGGAGCCATTCCAGTGCCCTAGACAGACAGGGCTAGTACTCGACTTATTACTAAGTAGGACGATAAGTTGTCTTAATAAATTAATTTCCAACTCAAGTCAATCTCAACTTTAAAATGAAAGTTTATAGAAGTTAACAATATTGAAAAATAAAAAAGTAGTTAAATTTTATTTATTGTTTGTTATTCAGCATATTGAACGTGTAGTTTTTGTGCTGAAAAATAAAATAAAATTGTCTTCTATTTATTAGTTTAATTTTTTTAGAAGCCCCTTTGATAGAAATTAAAATTAAAATTTTAATTTAAGTTAAAGTCCAACAGCTAATTTTAATTGCATATTTTATAGAATTCACAATTTTTCGATCACACATTTCATTAAATTTTATCAAAATCTATTAAAATTTTGATTTTAATCCCCGCTAGAGAAGGACTTAATAAAAATACAAAAGATGGGCTAAATCAAATTATGCCAAAATGTAAGGGCATACAAAGTTGAAATTTGTTGTCCAATTTCTGTTGTTCAATTTGTTATTCACCAAATTAATTATTAAGATGTTATTTTGTGAGAGAGAGAATTTAACAATGATGTATAGTTGTTAAAAGTGGAAAATTAAATTAATGATAAGTTAATTTAAAATAATGGATCAATAAATAATTAATTAAGCTGACAACAAAATTTTGAACAGCGTACAACTAAGCATTCGGTGGCGGAAAAATTAAGGAATTTGTATGGCCGATAATACAATAAAACGAAAGATGCTGGACAAGGCAAATTTGTCAGCTTATCACTTCCGGAGAAGAATTCACCAAATTTATTCCAGTCTTTTCAATTTTTTTGAATTTCAAGCTTCTCAAACTCCGTACACTACAAGTTTTCTCCTCTCTCAGTTCTTCCACTAAAACTTCTTGCTATCGCTTCTTTTAATTACAATTCAGGCCCAGAAACGGTAATTGAAGTAGCTGAATCAAACTGGATTGCTTTTAGCTCAATTTTTGTTGTGAATTCTTTGAACTGATTTCAAAAATCCCAAAAATTAGAAGTCGGATTTTTGTTTTCTTAAGTTTCGTTTTCATTTTCTTTTTTTT